ATCGACATCAAGCGCATGGTGCTGTAGCACATGCGGTCGCGAGTGCCTGAGTCAGGCAGGCTTAGTGAGCCATGAGCGAGGCCACTCGGGACCACTACCGAAGCGACGACGGGTCCTGCAGAGAACGTAGGCAGAACCGGCGCAGCGTTTGTAGGTACGCTGCATTCGATTTACTAACCGCGTGCTTGCATGCTAAGTCTCTTTATTTCAGGTGGTGGGTTTTCAATTTTGTCCTAATGCTTTTCTTTCTCAAATAAATGTCCACCTGTACGCTCTTCTATAAACCTGCACAACTCGCTTAAGCCAATTGTAGTTAATTTCGATAACATTTTCGCGTTTGTGTCATTTCCGTAAAATATACTTTCTGACCCCCTGAACTTATCTCGGATCCTTTGTTAACAACTTATTTCATATGCTCATTAATTTAAGATTTTTGTCACGTTTCCTTATGCATTACTCGATTTATTTTCTTTGTTAGCTTTCTCTCAAGTGATTGGCTGTTGCTTGATATCCCCGGTGTGGCTGCGCTTGATGTGCATGTTGACAAGGTGCCTACCTGTCTATTACCCACTACCTCGTCTATACTGGCTCCAGGAGACAGTTGGTCGTTGCTGGAGGGGACGGGGTGCACGGTCCTTGTGGCCGTGCTAGGCTCAAAGAGTGGTTCCATGCACTCAGTGTGGAGCGGACTACGGTCCAGCCACCGCCTTGTGTGCGCTTGATTCCCAAATACAGCGTGCTTGTGTTTGCTTGTGAAGGAGTGTGGGCCGGCTCCGTTGATGAAACGTGGCTCCCATCCACATGCCTCCCGGTCTTATTCCTTCGGGTTTACACTGGATATGGGGTGTGTGGTTGGAGCTGTGGGTGGTGCAGCGCAAGCCACCCATGGTCCCTCTGTAGGCGCAGGCGTCCTGTGGCTGGCCACAGTGACAGGCAAATCCGAAACCGGATGCCGCCAGCCATATGGAACTAGATGACTACTATCCCGTGGAATGGCTCTGGATGTGATTGAAGTGGTTCAGCTACTTCCATGGGTGGCTGTAGAAAACAGAACAGTAGTTGGTTTTTGCAAACATCGAACCACTATTAACGACTCACATCCCATTACGATGTCACGGCGTACCCAGTGCTCCACGAACCAACTTTCATGGACCGGATCATATTCCCTCTCTTGTTATTACTGCTGCTAGTGCTACTGAAACTTTAATTGAGTTTCGAAGAGCTCAATGGATGGCCGCAAGTTAACGAGGTCACATCGTGTTGAACGTTTATCGGATACACTGTCTCACAAACTTCTCGTTATCTTTTTTACCATTGTCTGTCATCTTTTGCTCTCTGATTGCCAATGTTCCCGTTGACCATCCAGCTGTCCAATATTTTGCCATGTTGGTATTTGTGCAGTGTTTGCCCTACACCATTCAGCTGCGAATCTCACTCCTGGTGTTCCTACTTGTGCTCGAATTGGTTCACTTTTTTTCGTTTTTCGCCCTTTGCCGTAGTGTTTGGCAAATGCGTTCCGATTGCACCCGATTTCCGTTCTACCCATTGTATTCTTTAACTTTTTCATTTTCAATGTTTACCGACGACTGTCTACTTAACCAACTTTCGCTTACCGCCGTCATGTGTATTGCTTGCATCATGCCTCAATCCTGGTTGAACATGAGGAGTGAAGGACCTCTCGTTTCGGACCGGTATGATGCACAATGTCAGTTTATCTGCGCGCTCGAGATGCTACATACTTGCACGAGATTGTCTTCTCGGTTTTCCACCTACGCACGCACATGCAGGGGCGACTCTCTGATTGGTCAAACGTCACCGATTGTTTATCATCTGGATCAACAATACCACTCCGGATATAACTATATTTATTGTTGTTATTCGGGAGCAGGAATCTTTTAAATATTACCTATTTGAAGGTTTTTCGTCGTGACTACAAGTCAAACAACATCCTACGGACCGGAGCGCCGTTTCGTCCTTTTGGGTTTCGTCCGTATTCCACGGAGCCATCAGGAACCCAAGCGGCTAAGGCCACAAGGAAATGAGCGACGGTGACAAACTATCGTGACTCATAGGCTAACTGCGACAAAGCGCGATCACCTATGTGGGCTGAACTGCCTCTGCATTGCGCAGGTCTGTGTAATTCCAGGAGGTTTATTTATGGATAAAAGCCAAACAGATGCCAAAGCGTGTGCCGCCCATAGGACCCAAGTGGAAGCATGCAGCTTCAGTGGATTTGGTTTTGTAAAAATAGATGCATTTCGTCGGCGCAAATGGGAACACAAAATGCCTCATCTGAGCTAGATGTTTACCCCCGTAGGTGATTGCACAAGTTTGGAATTGCGAATGAATTAAACCAGCAAGATTGGCACCAACAACATGCGGAAACAAACATATGGACATAGAGGTAAATGATATCAATTCCCATCGGCTGTATTCGCCTAGGTCAATATTCTAGAGCGATATTGTAACTGAAAGCAGGAACGAGACCAGGCCTACTGGAGCCAATCTCAGACACTTTGCATCCGCTCATCTGGGAACTGCTGGAACCAGACGCGCAACCCACGCAAGCCTGTTGTCGATAATAGAAATGTTATCCTTCTGCCCAACTCTGCAAATGCATCATCAATCTTGCCATAATGAACGAGAGCTCGGCATGAAATATCGTCCATTGACATCCAAGATGAAGAATCAAGTGTTGGTGACCACAGCAAGTATCTGGTCAGTCTGTCAGTTGGGAAGGCTGATGATCTACAGTTAGAAACATTATCGTTCAGACAGGGTTACAAACTAACACCTAGACGATTAAAAGGGATTTTTATTGAGACCCGTTGGAAAAATTTTTTAAGAATTGCAGGACTCTCAAGCAAGTAGCATTGATATGCTTAGTTGGTTTTGAAACAAGTTACTCGGTTTTGCCTATGAAATGAAAATTGCGCTACTAAAAGAAAAGTGCAATCCCACGAGCAGACATCTGCGCGCGACATGCGAAAGGTGACATAAGGACCTCGTTTTAATAAAGCAGGATAAGGACGCAGGATTTCAGTCATGAATAAAGACGAATACATCAGGAAGACGAACCTCGCATGGTGACAGCAACAAACGTGAGTGACTTGAGATGGTGGCTCATGTACTGTGTTCGAATAGCACGTAACTCGTCATTTGGAGATGCTCCTTCAGTACTGTGTGATCGACAGTCGTACTTATAACGGTTTAAAGCTGAATGGATCAACCACACCGCAGCTATATGGGTTTCCAGCAACGTAAAATAGCGGAGTGCCCCTCTGACTGATCCTCTTCACGAAAAGTGCCTCCAACATAAACTAGCTGGCTACGCAGTGAATATGATACCGCCGCTAAGAGTTCAGTATGGTCTATACGACAAAGATCCTTTTGAGCTCATCCAAGACCATAACAGAATAAACATGTTCGACAAACTGATGTGCTCTTCAGATGTGTAATCTATGTTTGATAACTTCTTGCTCCACCAGACAGTGGACTACTTGTGAGAATTTGCAGCATATTGCCGACACCGGTTGAACTATTAACGGAACCATTGCTTCTGTGCACAAAGAATGTCGGTTTTCACTTCGGGAACATGGCATATTTCCAATTGAGTGGGTAGCCACATACTAGCCGATCTCTTTCTATTGATGACAGAACAACGTATATCATAAGAAATGGCGCAGTTGCCCTTCAGCAAAAGTTATGTGGACGATATCTTGCTGTCCAGTTACTGAGAGAAGCATATTCCACAGCGGGTGTGATTTTTTTTAAAAAGTTATGCAAACTTGTGTGTTTCCTTTGAAATTGTACCATAGAACTCTCTTCCGTATTTGGAGGCTGTTATCAGCCGTAGAGAGAATGGATAAGCAGGGAAGGTCAGGTTACCGATAAACAACGTGGTCCAACCAGTATATGCATTTTAACAGCTTCATGCCAATTTTATACAAGCGAAAGCTAGTGAAGACCCTGTTTAGATTTGCCAGACAAACCTGTGAGACTGAATGTCTGGAATACGAACTAGAGCTTATTATTGACAAAACAACTGCACATGGATATCATTGGAGAACCTTCAAGTAGCATAGGCAACTCAGTGAAACTAAGAATTTGGTACTCAGCCCACCAGAAAAAGTTATTCCTTCAATCTCCCTTATACGGTGATATTGCAACAGTGAGGAGTAGCAGGAGTCTGATCTCTGCCACGCAGAGCACTTACCGTGCTGTCGAAGTCGCCATCATCAACCTGACTCATAAGCTACCCGGTGCCTCCACTGAAGAAAACTTAGCTTATCGGACCAACTTTATCGTGTATGCCAATTCGTAGGTAACTGGGGAGCTAGTTATGTAGACGAAACCGGTAGGATTCTGTGTTCTTGAATGGAGAAGCACGTGCGAAAATGGGTTCAGTGCGAGGCTGTACAGCGAGCAGATATTACAAAAACAGAAAACAATGTTGACCTATCATCAGTGGTATTTTGTATTTAGTTTCCAGTGTTTGATGTAGGACTTGTAACATGAGAATTCGGATGACTATTAAATGCAGACTATCTGTTCCGTAGCGTAAGCCAGAACCATTTCAGTGATCTCATGACCGGGGCATGTGCGGAGTCACATTGTAGTAGGTCCGAAGTCACAAAATGTGTGTCAATTGTTCCGTGTGTTGCTACTTAATGTGCCGTGGGCAGATACATATCTCGGCACATCCGGGTAATAGGACCAGGATGCAACATGAAATCCTACTCCTCGCTTTGACTGCTACGTGACCTCACAGTGATGAGTTGTCGGTGAACACATATTAAGGAATTGTCTGGATCTCACCTTGTGTGCTAGCAGACGAGTTACCTTAAAGTTGGTGAGGTCCCAAACACATTGCCTTACCACATGAAGGTAAGCGCAATTAACCTGCGAAATGAAAACTTGGCGCTTACAACTCGGCTTAACGTACTTTACCACTAAACGGAAGAACCAATAATGCACATCACATGATTGCACTCACTCACATCCAGTTCGGTAGACCTGGGTCGTCTTCCATCTACGGATTGTTCCGAAAACGCTTCCTGATCTCCATTTTCGTAGAAGAAATCAACAACTGCAGCGATCGCCCTCGGATCATGAGGAAATATATTTTGCAGACATCGTTCCTTTTCTGCTGACAATGAATCTGTCCACTGGGACTTGCGGTAGAACGAGGCACCTGGTTTCTCCACCAGTCCGACGAGTAAGTCGGCCCTTGCAAATAGGGTTGATTCCCACTTGATCGCGCCGGTACGATCGGTCCCAGGGCCATTGCCAGAAGAAGTCGCTCCAAAAATGGAACTTTCACTGAAGATAAGGCTTGGAAACAAATGTTTTGACAGCACTGGGCCAAGTCGTGATGCACAAAGAGCATCGGATAGATTGTTTTGTAGTTGTATAATTCGCTTTACAGATAATTGTTTCAGTTGTTTAAATACTAATTCCCCCAAGGTTGGCTTCCGCACTGAGCTGTTTTCTTCGCTTCTATTCTGTGACGCTATTGGCCCCTTGGCTTTGTTGTATAGCTTTTGTTGCTCAGACATTGCAGCCGAAGTTCCTGCAGGCGATACACGAGTGGTTTGCAACTCGGACAGCGACAGATTTTTCAGAGAAGAGTTGTGAGTAATTCCATAGGCTAAATCTCCGAGCAACATTTTTTCTAACGCCCGATTCACTTCTGCGGCACTATTCGAGGTGGCCCAAGGAGCCAAACCAGAACCGTTCAAAAGAATAAGCCTCTTGATCGATTTACTGATAGCGCCTACATCCAAGAGGGAATAAGGAGAGAAGATTTTATATTTTTCACCATACTAAGCCCATCTCGTTTGATGCGCTAGATATGTGTAGTTGTTGCTAGTGCGGTCGCTATGACAACTGATAGAGTGCACACATAGGTTATGAAACACAACTTAATCCCATTCACTTTCACGGTGGTCATAAACAACGATTAGAATAAACGTAAAGGGGTCGAGCAAAATACTATTTGAATATCATGATCCTCTACTGCGTCATAGTGTTGTGCCCTGCTTAAGATGCATGTAAAAGCAACGGAAACCGTTATTCATTCGGAGTCGGAACACATACGAATAAGCAAACCAAATTTTGTACGCAGCAATATGTCGAGAATCGACCCCGAGTTTGTTGTCTCAGCCGTCCGTTCAACTTGCGAATCCGCTAAAGATACACGTGTCCTGTAGACCTTTATAAATCAAGAAGATTGGGCCGCGATCATGAAATTGTCTAAGATTACGCGTGGATTTTGATAAAGTATATACACTATTTGTGAAAGTCTACCCCACCGGCTCATCTCTGTTATTTACATTATGTCCCTGGATCCATTTCCAATAATTTACACTTGTTCGCAACGTTCTCCCTGTGTAAAATTAACTCCAACCCCGTTGTCGATTTTTCGGGTCACTCGTCCATTCGGTCATAAGCTTCCTCTCTTGGTCCGGTGCCACACCAAACCTTGACTCAAGTGCGTGTAGTGGATTCGAGGGCGGAAGAACCAATCCGCTTCTCACGAGCACGCGCTTTTCCGCCATACTGATTTGGTCCTGTGCATTTGGGACTTACTGGCTCCTAATTGGTCACCTGCTCACCCATTGGGTGCTTGGTCAGTTGCTTGGCTGCCCTCGCAGAGTTCTACATGGGCGGGAGCCGAACACTCGCCGAATGGCTGATCCATCCTCTTCTGATGACAGGCTCACTTTCCGTCAGACTAAGTTGCATCTGCTCAGTACTCTGCGAAATGCTGTCTGGCTTTCGATAGGTCAGTTGCCTGCCTGTATCATAGCGTTTCCACTCCCCATCGCTTTTAGCCACCATCACACCACGCGCATACCCACACACCAACTGTGAGTTGTCTGTGAAGGCAATTTATTGTTTTCGGATAGGCGCACAGCGAGCTGTCCGATTAGATGGATTGTCCACGGGTCGGTGGCACGTTGATGTTAACACGAGGCACTCAGACGAACCGAGCAGCAGCTTGTGCATCCTTCAACTCATACTTGACATTTTAAGCCATCGTGGAAGAACTGTTGAGCGACTATTGCAATTTCGTGGATTACAATAGAATAAGTCAATACAAATTCGTGGCTGACTGTATATACGCCGAAATTTCCAATCTATTATTCTCTATGTTTAACTCTACGAGGTTGGAATATTAAAACACTCGGTCTCTGAAACATTATGTCAAGATGGACGGTGGTAAATGGGAGATATAGTTGGCGGTTCCTTAGATTTTCAATCGTGTTTGTCGGTCGAACTTGCAAATGTTACAGTCTAGTAATGAAGTCGGGTGTGCTGTCGCCAGAGCCTATGAAAAACAAACCAGACTGTCTTAGTTAAACTGAAGCAATGACAAGAGGCGGTTGAAACCAGCCACGAGTCTCGGACTCAATCAGAAATACCCCGATACGTAAAGCCATTCATGGTGAGTCGCACGGTTGAACCCAATCGTGCATGGATAAATCTGCACAAGCGTATTCTCAGTGCAATGCTTTGATCATTACTGCTAGTGACGAAAAGATTCAGGGGCCTGCACAACTTATTGAATCGGTCAAGAATAAAGACGAGTTGTTAACATTTGCAAGGATGATTGTGCGGCAATCGTTTCACTATGTACCGCATATTGATTCATCTCAACAGTCGAGTGACGTGGGGGGGGGCGAAGGACGGGCGCCATGTGACGGGGCACCTTTTTCGATACCAAATAAAAAGGGCAAAATATCCGGATAAACTGACACCTTTGCGCCATGTGTCACATCTGTGCGAACGTTCTTCCCAGCGATAAATTTAGTTGCCCCATTGTGGTCAGTTTCATCACATTTAACTCTGTGCCCCGAACGATCATCTATTTCAACGAAAACCAATGTGTACTTTACCCTGAGCCGATCGTGTTGCCTTCACAAGCCTATTCTGCCATCAGCCAGAGCGACAACTTTGCTACCTTCACGGACGACGAAGGAAGTTTCTTACGCCACTGGATCTCTGCCAGATGCAACTCCGATCCAGTAGCTTTCAAATCGAAAGGTTTAGCGTCTATGATGTCTGGATAACTTCTCTATTCGGACGCAAAAAATTACTCATCTATTTTTATTTCCAAGTCGAATATCAGAATAAAGTCATCACGTATCCTAATTAGTGAAGTGAGCTTCTCTATCAAAATCACGGAATGTCCTGCAAACTGTCTCTGTTACTCCACCATCGGGTTTCCTCAGCGTCACAATTATTGCAGAAACGGTGCTAAGAAAGCCGCTATCGTTGTTACGCACAGCTCGTCAGGAGCGAATAAGATTCACCCGAAAGCACTGCAGATAGCAGCCATGCACATAGAAGGAACACTCGTTGGATGCTTTCAGCGTTGTTTAGACGGAAACGTGAAATCACTATTGAGGAAGTCGCTCTGAGCCCGGTAATTGCCTCCTGATTCCACCACTCTTTGTACTCTCCAAGGTGATAGAAGCGATCATTGAAGACGCACTGATGGGCCAGCTGAAAAGCACCGGTATTGTTGCGCCGAAGCAGCACGAAGTTCGTCAACATCGAGCATGTAGCACGGGCCTGCTGATTTCATACGACAATTGGACCGAAGCTGTCTATCAGGGGACAGGAAACGAGATTATCTAGTTATTCATTCCGAAAGCGTTCGACCGCCTGGTTTATCATGTTCAGCTTCATAAGATTTAGAAAATTGTCATCAGAGATCGGGTGATTGGTTGGATCAGTAACTTTCTCCGTGAATGGCCATTGGTGGTTAGCGTCCGAATATTTTGATCCGACCCATTTCGAGTGGATTGTGACGTATCGTAGGGTTCAGTACTTGGGCATTGTTTGCTCTTAGCTATTCTTAACGACCTAGCGAGGTTTATAACACCAAGATGTTCCCTCTTCGCGGAGGACGTTACGTTTGATCGGCCGATCAAGGATCGGATGACCATGACAGCCGCCGACTCAACTTCAGCGAAGCGTGAAAGAAGTCGGTAAGGAACGCGCTACCATTCACCATGGACAAGTGGTATGGTTCGCCGTTGGAATGCTGCATTCACAGGCTTATATGGCCACATCTTCAGACCGTATCCAAAGAACGTGACCTCGGCGTGCTCGTACAGGACGACCTTGGTTGCTTCAGACAGTTTGAGTCCGCTTCAAGGAGTAGTAGCCAGTGCGTTGGGCTCTTGCATAGGGTTTTCAGAATTTTGGTTGCTCTCTGATACATAATGTCTACGCGCATTTCCACGTCGAATACGCTATCTAGACTTGGAAAACTTGGCTAAAACGTGACATCGCAGCGCTCAAGATCACACAAACTCAAATAACGAAAAGTCGAAGGTATACACCATTTTAGGTATCGTGGAATGCTGAAGAAATTCGGAGTGTTCAATTTACGTTACCGACGGCTACCTAGAGACATAAGATTATTATTGAAAGATGTTAGTAAGCTTTGCACCACGTTCTAACGCACACTCAGAACAACAATTTGAGAGACGAAAGAATGAAAGTAATTCTATCACATGGTCGTCTAGAATATCGACTAAAGTACTTCTACCTTCGGATCGGGTAACCCTGGAACACCCTACTTAACTAAGTCTTCCCCATCTTAGCCATTTTCAAACAAATGCGTGGATAATGCCCTCATCCCCCAACTCTGTTACATGAAGGGATAGATTGGAATATATTCAGCCTAATTAGCTATTTCGGAAACATAACCCTCGGTAAGCATGTAAATCACTTAAAAATCGGATTGTTCCTTAGGATGGATCTTAGATATGTCAACTTACTACCATCATTACTTTTACTTTTATTAAACGTCGAGTGAAAATTAAAAAACGATTTCCGTCCGCTTTCCACCCATGACTTTCGAAGGCTCTATATCTATTTCATAGACAGTTGCTTGGATTCATATATATTATCATTATTTTGTCCATAATTTTAATTTTTGAATTTGCATTTCTTTCACTTACCAACCTACGGGGCCTGTCAAGCATGGTTGCTTAAGCCGTCATAAAGCACGCTTCCATTCTTTCCATTAAGTTCAAGGCTAGATGGCATCAATCCAAAAGCCACTGTAAGACGATTCGGATGAGTTTTAGACCTAGAAGTTTCGGAAAGGAAGTCAAACGCTAATTAAAAACATTTGTTTTTATTAAAAAGCGTAATAATCTAAAACCACCCGGCAATTATTTGGGAATAGGTCGTGCTCACTAATTTAGCCGCCACATAACGCATGTTTCAGAAGAGTAGTAGGGAGAGTTGAATGTTATAGGAAGAAATTCACCACATCTAGGCTCACTCAGACAGCCGTCACACGCCCGGAAAAGCACTGTACGCGCGTTTCATCCTTTCGGGAATCGTCAGCAGTGCGCATTCCATCGGACCCTTGGCAGGGCTCGAAACCGCAACTCGACTGTTGCCAGTCCGTGGTTGAGACCACTGAGCTACGGGGGACAGCAACGACCATCGTGAATAAGTTACTAGATGTGATATAGCGCCGCTCACTATCCACTGACTTACACGTTACTGCCGTGCAGAGGACAGGGTAGCCCCCTCACCAAGCGACGAGCTTAACAAACTTAAGCCGCCAATTATCTTATGGCATTATAAGCAGTTTGTTCTGTGTACTGATTACAGAAGAGTAGTAGGGGGAGTTGAATGGTATAGGTAGAATTTCGTCACATCTAGGCTCACTCAGACAGCCGCCACAAGTCCGGAAAAGTACTGTACGCGCGTTTCATCCTTTCGGGAATCGTCAGCACGGTAATAACGTGCAAGTCAGTGGATAGTGAGCGGCGCTATATCACATCAAGTAACTTATTCACGATGGTCGTTGCCGTCCCCGTAGCTCAGTGGTCATAACGCATGTTTATTTTCTCTCTTATTTGTCATCCTCCAAACCTAGAAGAACCGCATGACTGAAGGTCATATTTCTGTCGAATCGAGAGATCGACGGTATACTTTTGGTATACTTTTGGTGTGTGATCGGAAGTGCAATAGATTCAGTCGCCATTAAATAACTGTGTGTTATCATCGATCGTATTGACTCCTTCCCAGGTCTAATGCATTTACCGCTATCGGCACACATACTCCCCCTATGCTATGGAATATCACACTTAATCTGCACTGATCAAGCGTTCAAGGTTTACTTGCAAGCATCCTGTATGCTTTTCATAATGAAAGCATTTCGCCGACCGACACATCCCTTTTCCTTAGTCAAATGCAATTGCCAAGCAATTATACATTATTTTTGAATAGTATTGGTAAACATTAATTGATTAGCATCCGGTTTTCTGTAATGTTTGATTATTCATTCCAGAACTTGTGTGGGAAACCGATTGGGGCCAAGTTGTATACAACTTATGTTTGGCAAATAAAGATCACACGCAAAAATCACTGTTTCGAGAATTAGTGGGAAATAGAAATGTAGCAACCGCTCAATTTACCTACCTTGTGCCAATCTGGATAATGAGAACAAGTGTATGAGCGCGGCACCGTGACCGTAGCCCATCAGTGTCATTTGATCGGGATCTCCACCAAATCGCTCAATGTTTGTACGTATCCACAAAATGGCGGCTTGCAAATCGAATAGAGCAAAGTTACCGTTACTATGACCTTCTTTGAGCGATAAGAATCCTGTAGTAGCAGAGCAAACAAAAAACGTAGTCCACATTAATTTAAAATGTCCAAAATGAAGCCAGTTATAGATACTGTCTGGAATCCGATCGGATGAACAAAAATAATGAACCACAATTACGGTGCAGCGTAAAAGTAACGTGTGAAGGGGATGTTTGTACGGCGCACACACGCTACCAAGGGAACGCAAATGGTATATATTAGAGTTTGCGACTTGAAACAGTTTGTCAACCGCTAGGAATGAGTGGCTGGACCAGGTTATATATGGGAGCCGGTAAGATTTAGTAGACATTTAAAATATCTCCAGCTGTACGCCGTAACGGCGCTTCGATGCCACTAGGCCCCCATCAGTCGCGCGTGGGTTAAGTATACCGCGAGGACGCCCACCCATAGGCGGATTCGAATCGGTGACCTTATGTTTGCAAACTAGGTGCGCAGACCACTCGGCCACCCGCCGACCAATATAAATGTAGACGATAGAAAACGGTTTGTGGTCTCAAGGACACAAAGTTTATCGGGCTACCCAAATCATTGTAAACAGATACGACACAGGATGATATATTAAAATCATGAGGCTATGAAATCATTTTACCAGTTGTTGTGTCGCTGCTGACACCTTCACCCCACGACCGCAAGAAGAAGTCCGAAGACGAGCCAGAAGGAGACTTGTATACATGGAATCAAATTTGCTTATACAGTTTGAAGGCAAAATGAAGGGAAGCTACTAAAGTACACTTGAGCCAACAAACTGAAGGAAAAACCACAAATGCAACGGCGAATAAACAACCGTGTACTCAAGAGCGAATCGCGTATGTCATTAAAAATAGCATCATTAGACTCCAAGCGTAAAGCGAACGTCCATTTACAGTGACCGGCACTGGCCAATCAGAATGACGAAATGAAACGTTTAAACATAAGTCACGAAACAAACGCGAATAAGGAATGCAGACCCAAATGTTGAAAATCAGTACAATAATTGTGTGACAACCAAATATTCCTTTAACATAACCAAGTAGAACAGTGATGAGAAAAAACCAATTGAATATGTTCTTGCAAATGGCGCTGCTGAGAAGGACATGATGATGAGCGTCCATTAACAATGACGTGGATGTACCAATCAGGCTAACCCAGTAGAGCGTTTGAACAACAGTCAAGAAATAGAAAATGGGAAGAGTAAGGAATAGCTATCAAGTTCGTTCACAATAAATGAATGTCTAATAGCTGTTCTCCTAATACCATTACACAACAAACGAATGAGGAAGCTGTTAAGGCAGCTACACAAGAAGGCGGATGCTTTTTCAGGACCTTTTGAGACAATTAGCCACAACTTGGCGTAATCACGCAGTTGCCATAAATTCGATGTAAAGGCTGGTATCTGTGGCTTACAGTTTTTTCTTACCCTTGTTCAATTATTAGAAATATATACTGCCAATCACAAATTTGCCGTTAAAAACAGAATACAGTTTCAATTTTTCACTACATCAGACTGGGCAAAGATCTGGAAGGCTGTTTTCTTCTACCATATTCCCAGTTGAAGTATAAAGCAAAGTGCGACGCGTGTTGAGGGTAGATTTCTTTTCGGAAACCATAGTCAGGCTGATGGTGATTACATGTTAAACATGCTGAGTTGGGCTGAATATGAGGTCTAGAGATTTGATTCGTCCATCCAATCAATAAATCATGTTGTCACTGGATATATTATACTAAATACAAGGGAAGGGTACCTAGGCACACTATTTTTTATAACCACTCAAAAGAACACTGGGATCAAAATCAAATCTAATGATTAGATAAGGAATATGTGGGCTATTGTAAGAGGCCTACCAAATGCTTCTAGACGCACAGCCTCGGCTTTTGGAGGTGGATAACGATAGGTCTAGCGTTATATAGTCCTGTTTCCGGATTCCGAGTAAGAATCGCACAGAGATGAAATAGCTAACTTTGAAATCATTTTCAGTGGGTGCCTGATGGTAGCCAAAGTAGAAACATTAGCAACTAGCCAATATTCAGACGCCAAAAGATGTCCAAATACACTATACTCCTTTGCATTTATCCTACTCTATCTTTTTCTATTTTGTAGTATGCAATGGCGTTTGTGTCGCGAGTTCCCTTGTCCATCCACTTCCCCTTAGCCTCCCTCTCCAGCCACAATCACAAGTAACAGGCAGTAAATGCATTTATACGGCAAAATAGCCGGCTGTTAGCCCTCCGGAACGATGTTCATCTGTTACTGGTGGCTCAGCCGGCGTGCCGCTGTTTCACTTCGTAACGGAGGCGAAACAGCTGACGATGAAGCTGCAAACTAACGGGGTGAGATTAGGCAGACCACGGGCATGGTTGAAAGACTCGTTGCCATGGCCAAACCAGAAACTGACGAAATCAGACTGTCATCGCCGCACGGGGTTGCTATGGTGGGGACGTGATCCTATTAGGTACAATCAGACAGCGAAGGTCGCTACCAGGGTCGAATATATTCAGACAAGAGGTGTGATTCATCTCGGTGACAGACGATCGAGGTAAGAGCATGTGAGCTATAAAATTAACCATATTCTGTGCCTAATATACTTCTGGCTGGCAGGTTTCTGGGTTTTGTTTTCGTCCCCGCTTGAATTGCAGCGCAGAGGGCAGTGGGCCCAGCGTTACAAAGCACTTTTTTTCCTTTTGTCTCGCGGCACCATAGCTGAGGCGTTTTCCAACAACAGCTAGCGTGTATAATGATGATGCTTATGGAGGTTGGGGATGTCGAATTCGTATTGCGACACCAATTCTCCTTTTGGATCACGACTATGGTTATGGATTTAATTATTTGGTTGCTTGCCGAAAATGCTAGTTTCGTTCTTGTTGGAATCCTCTGAGATAAAAATTGGAATTGCAAAGAAAGTCACGGATTGAGAAATCGCATACGTTTCACCACCATGCGAGGTGGCATCTTCAGTGCAGTAATAGGCAGTGTGTATTGCTGCTTAGTGGATTGTCAGTCCGTCATCGTGGTCGCTCATAAGCCAACCGCTACTTTGCGAAGAATACTATCAAACCCAAAGGATATGAGGAATGCACAAGAACGAACAAACGTCGTGTATAAAATAAATTGCAATAATTGTGAAATGAACTATGTGGGGCAGACAGGAAGGAAATTATCCACAAGAATACAAGAACATCAGAGGGCTTGTAAAAAACATTATGCATCGTCTCTTGTCTCAGCGCATGTAGATGAAGAGGGACATAGCTTCAATTGGGACCAAACAGTGATTTTAGCTCAAACAACAACACAGAAAGGAAGAGAGTTCCTAGAAGCATGGTACTCCTCTAATAATTCGATCAACATGCGCATCGACATTGACCCCGTGTACCATCAACTCCGAAAGAAAGATCTCCGGCGAATTGCAAGACCTGGTTCAGCCGTGGAAGCAAATGGGCAGAGATCACGTGGCACAAATCGAAATCGCCACCTTCAAAAGTCACCTGCCCGTGCATGACGCTGACAATCCACTAAGCAGCAATACACACTGCCTATTACTGCACTGAAGATGCCACCTCGCATGGTGGTGAAACGTATGCGATTTCTCAATCAAGCTCGGAAAAACAATCAACAGGTGAGCAACCAAGCCGGGCTACCAGTGTTCCAAGTTATTTCGAAAGTCACGGAGATCGTAGTTTTACTCTAGGTCGTCAACATCCGCGATCAGCGTCTGTCATAGAGTTCGGAACTACTTTCAGAATATCAAAGGTGTTTGGTGAGAGGACAACAACCTTGATAGATTTTATTTCCTCGTCTATCACCAACTTAACATTCGAAAGGGGAGTGAAGCGGATCATGGAGTGTACTGTAGGGATCAACTGCAGTATAATGGGGTTCCGTATATTTTGGCGACTTCTTGTTCATTGCTAGCTAGATTCACTGGCTTGGAGCAGGCTATGATGGTGATCTTGTCTACTGGCATGAGGGTGTGAAGCAAAATCTGTTAATCTCAACTTGATTTTGAAACCACATAGCATACACACGCCCAAATAGGTCTTAGTTTTGGCGCATACCCAGGATAGCCGCCCTTTTGAAACTACCTTTTTATGAATCAAACAATTAACTAATTGTTGAACTACTTTCTAGGAGCAACTGTGTCTCCTGCGACTGTATGTAAGATATAATCCTATGTCATCTTCGGTCAGCAGCATCATCATGTGTACATACTATCATGGGGTCCCAGGTTAATTCATCCTCAACATTGCTTCGGTCTGACATTATCTGAGACGGTTAAACAAAAGAATATTGTATCTTCTTCGTATCACATTTAACACTGGTTCCCTAGTAGTTTATAGCGGTGCAGTTTCATTTACTGGAAGTCTTCGGTGTTGCTTTCTCAATCATTGCATTTTACGATGGGTTTCGTCCTCCTTTGTAGTCATGGAGTAAAAATAGTCTGAGCAAGTAGTGCAACATGGCATGGAAAAGTTAGCGCCTATAATAATAGTCATATTGATAACAATAATAATAATAATAATAATAATAATAATAATAATAATAATATGTCAGCTGTACGCCGTACCGGCGCTTCGCTGCGGTGGGACCATGACCAGTCGCACGCGAGTTAAGTATACCGCGAGGACACCTACCCCTATGTGGATTCGAACCCGCACCGCAGGCTTACAAGACAATTTCGGTAAATCTATGCTACGGGCTTGTTCGCGCCTGTTGGCATGATCACTGGGTTACTGAGCGCGAGTAGCACTCAAGACTGTCTTTAAAAATTCAACCCAAATATCCAACACAAGCTGCAGGACATCAGCTTCGTTGCGAGTAACAAACTATTGTTCCGCTTGGCAGTTCACGCATACCTATCCTTTGGATTCCTTCCCGTTCCAGATGAATAGCAAGACCAACACCTTGGGCGCATTAGGCACTCGCATAATATTAAGCGCTATCGATATTCAGTGTACATATGTTATCCACACCTACATTCAATCTACAAAACGGCTGCCTCAATTTCCCTAGCCCTCTCCATCAA